GCCTAATACTCATAGTCTCTAATTGAGAACTTAATGAGTTACAATGTGCGTTGAGAGCCTTGTTTTTAGAATTTAAATATATAACTTCAGTTTCCAACTTTGATACCTGTATTTTTAAATTATCTATTTGCTCCACATTATTTTTTTCTTTAGAAATTAATTGTTTAACTTGACTACTTAGTTCCTTATTCCTATTTAAAATATAAAAATTATCTGCATCTGCTGATTTTTTTTGTTTTTTTGTTTGTGGAGCTGGAGACAGTTGCATTTTAAAAAATGCTTCGTTTTTTGAAGCTTCAAAATACTTTTTAGAATCTTTTTTTCTTTGTTTTATTTTTCGGCACATTTTATTTAACACATCAATATTAGGCATGTTAAACTCAATCGGCAAAAGAAAACTTAAAAAAGTAAACAACGCTTTTGGATGAAAAACTGTTAATAAAATTGAAATCACATTGTTAGTGATCTTACTAGTGTCAATTACTCGCTTTACAAAATTAAAGTTATACTCATTTTCCCAACCATCTTCCCAACCGATGTACAGTTTCAAAATTTCCCTCTCAGTTGCATACATCACATAAATAATGATAATGATATTATAATAATAATATAATAAAAGAAATTAAATAAAATAATATTTACAAATAAATACACTAAAAATAAAAGAATTAAGCAACTTATCTGAAATTAGTCGAATATCCACGAGGAAATAATCCACGAAACTTTGCTTTATAATCTTTATTGATATAGTAATAAAATTATAATACAAACAACTTAAATAGAATAATATTGACAAATAGATGCACTAAATAAAATCGGATTAATCAACTTATCTGAAATTAGTCAAATATCCAAGAGAAATTAATCCGCGAAACTTTGTTATTTATTCTATAAAATGTGTCTCGTTTGTTTTGTTTGTTTTCTTAAAATGCATCTGATAATCGTTGGGGACGTAACGATCAGAGTTTGCGTCACCGCTTTAAAATGTAAACCAGAATTTATGCAAAAAAAAACTAAAAAAAATGTCGCTAAACATGCCAAGTTTGAAAACATATTTGATAACATAGCTAGAGGTACAGAAAATAATTTTTTGATTTTCTTATTCATATAAGGTTGAAGTATTACTAAATCCACAGACTTTTCAAAAATGTTATGTTTTTTATTCAAAACGAATAAAAACAAAAATATAAATGCATTAAAAACTAACTTTCTATATAAAAACTTGCAAAGTCTGTGGAAATCTAGATAGAACAGACATTCATTAATAACTGTTCTAAATTTCAACCATCGACCATGTAGCTATGTTATCAAATCTTAGTTGGCGTAAGACAGGTTTTGCGTAAAAATCGCAAAAATCAGAAAAGTGATGCCAAATTATTAACAATATTTTTACAGCTTTCATTTTTATTCCGTTTAATGTAAATGTTTATTTAACAAGGAAAGATAGATCTTTTATATTTTTTTTATTTGAAGATGAAAGCATTTATAGAAAAAAAATACTATTATTTTAAAGTTAATGAAGTGATGCCAAATTATTAACAATATTTTTACAGCTTTCATTTTTATTCCGTTTAATGTAAATGTTTATTTAACAAGGAAAGATAGATCTTTTATATTTTTTTTATTTGAAGATGAAAGCATTTATAGAAAAATAATACTAATATTTTAAAGTTAATGAATTTTTATACTTTTTATGCGGAAATACTTTTTTTTTTGATTAACTCGTGACGTCAGGCTCGCTTTTATATTGAGTGAAACAGCCGTGCATACTCACACGAATGCTGACAAACCGTCACATTCTTGGAAACTTCACTTTTTTTGTTCAATAGCGAGAAAATTCATTGGTCTGGTTGATCTATTTGACAAAAACAAAAAGAAACCTTCTGATAAATTCATTGCAACACTTTCTCAGTTATTTAATCTCAACAACATTAATGGAGAATGGAAAATAATGGAAAATAAAGAGTCTACTCTTAACTTGCCACTCTATCAGTGGTTACTAGGTGGTCAAACAAGCCCCTTTGGAATCAATCCACCCAAGAAAATGAATCCGACTATCAAAAGTTCAACCTTAAGTCCATTACTCTGTCCAATCGCAACCTTCAGAAACAGAATTTTTTGGATTCAGAAACCTTTTTTTCTTCACTTGTGTCCAATCTTTTCTTCTACCTCATCTTCTCCTAAATGCAAACTGAAGTATCTAAGACCAAACACTAAAACAGCAGGATTACTAGGACTGAAAAAATTACATTTCTAAACATAAAGGACATGATGTTCTTTTAACATCGCTGAACAGAGTCATAATGTCCAAGTTAGTAAGCGGCTAGGGTTGATACTTGACTGGAGTCAGGGCTGGGTTTAATAAAATATAGCTGGGACCGTGGGCCGGGGCTAGATTTGTGACTGGGACTGCTTAAACACTTATGTATCCAAAAGTATATTTTTTTATTCAAAATTCATGTTATTTTGTATATATATGCATGTATAAATATTATGATCAACATGATCATCATTACCACTGATGATGATGATGATGATGATGATGATGATGATCATCATCATCATCATCATCATCATCATCATCATCATCATCATCATCATCATCATCATCATCAGGCTTTAGCCTTTCTCTTTTATTCTTTTTCTCTAATCATGGTCAATGCTCAAACTGGCTATCATCTCTGTTAAGATAAACCAAAACTCATTCTTGCTTGGCTTCTTGTTCAACTAGTTGTATCCTTTTACTGTATCTGTCCCTTCATGCTATAAAAACTTTTAATAATCCAGTTCTTTTCCTTGCACAGCGAAAAAAATCTTATATCTCTTATCCATCTTCATGTTTTCTTTTTTTATAAAAACTACATCTTTTTAAGTCTTTCTTTAACTGTTTCCCAGCTTTTTAACTTATCTTCTATTTTAAAGTAACTCATAACTTGATAGTGGTTGCTTGTAACCTTTTTGGAAGTAAATTAGAGTTAAAAAGTATATAAATATATGCCAGTATTTAATGAATAAAAAAATATATAAAATTATAATAGATAAAAAATTATAAAATTTTTTCTGGCCTCAGCTATCAAGCCCTATTAAATCTTATAATTTTGCAAAGGCCCGGGCTAAGTTTGCAAAAAAAGTCTCATTTTTAGCCGGGGCTCCAGTCACTTCTTATTCCAAGTCAGAATGGTGTCTGGAAGCAAGTAAGCTCTGAAGTACAGAAAATGAAAACCAAGAACTTCAAAGTAAAAATCTCTATTGCCTTCAGATTGATTAAGTAAATTGGCTTGGCTACTTTAACTCTCCATTTACCATGAGGTGAATTTCCTTTTTTAAGTCTACAAAAATTTCTTCTGCACCCAGGAAAAACAACTGATGGATAGCATTCCTTGTTTATCAAATATCCTGGAAAGACAAACAGTTGAATTTGTTCCTCTATTTTTTATTTATATTTTTAAATGATTTAGATCTTTTGCCATACTTTTCCCAGCAACATTAAGTAGAATTCAAATTATGTAAAAAAATACTAATAGTGATTAAATTAAATTTTATGGAATTAAATGAGACTTTCTGGATTAAATGAGACTTTCTGGATTAAATGAGACTTTCTGGATTAAATGAGACTGAAATTTAAAAACTATTTAACTATTGAACTGAACTACCAAACTGAACTTTCTTATCTAGATAAAATATTAGTTTAGTTAGAACAAGGGTAAATATATTAGTTTAGTTAAAACAGGGTTAAAGTAAAATTTTATCTAATAACTGCATTAAAATTAGATCGATTAAAAATTTTAACATTAAGTTTATTTTTTCATTTTAAATTTTTATTATACAATTATCAAAAATATATCAATTTAGATGCATTGTTTGAAGAAATAAATGTCATGAAATGATTTATAAAACCTCGTTTAATAAAATTTTTTTTCAGTGGTTTCCAGTGATTAAAAATATTTCTTTAAATCAATTTTTTAAGTTTATTAATTTTAAGATTCAGCAAATACTAAAACATTTGTTACAATTTTAGAATATAGTTGTATCTAAAAATATATGATAGCAATGCATATTGATTTTAGAAATCATTTTTCTTTTTGAAATTGTATGGATAATATCTTACATAGTGAGGATGTAAGATATTATCCATACAATAACTACTTTAATAGTGTGGTTAAATAGAAATCATTTATTAATTTTTAAAATATTCCTAGATACACCTAAAAAAGAGAGTTAATAGAAAAACCAGCATTATATATATATATATAAATTTATATATATATGTATATATATGTGTATATATATATATATATATATATATATATATATATATATATATATATATATATATATATATATATATATATATATATATATATATATACACACACACACATATGTATATGTAAATATATATATATATATATTTATATATATATATATATATATATATATCAACTGTTTGATCGTGGTTACAGCACTGATTATTAAAGTAAAGCAAGGAATATGGTATTGAAAAAAAATTTACTTTTATTGGTGGTCTTTCTACTGGAAACATTTTTAGATTCTGTAAAGTAACATTACAGAATTGATTAAATTGTGTCAGATTTTTAATAAAGAGTGTGTACACAAAAACGGCTATATAAAAATTAAGATTAAACTTACTTGCATCTGATTTGGATTATTATTGAAAATTTAATAATTTACAAAAGTTTTAAAAATTTAACGATTTCGGAGAGTTAGTAAAATTTAACAATTTAGGAAAGCAAAGTGAAAAAGTGTAAAAGCAATTTAATTTTTATTAAAAATATTTTAATTTTTTAATATTTTTGAAATTTTGTAAGAGTCTTATAAAGCCATAAGAAGCAAGAAATTCTTTTTTTATTTGTTTTTTTATGATCAGTTATTTAATTTAACTGTAACTACCATTATTCTTTGGGTTATATATATATATTTTTTAGTTTAGTTATTTGTTTGAACTCTTATTTTTTATAATTTTTTCATTTCCTTTTAAGCTGAAAAAGATATTGCACAGGGCATTGTCCAGGAAAAAATGTATGTCTTTTACATATATATGTATATATATATATATATATATATATATATATATATATATATATATATATATATATATATATATATACATATATATATATATATATATATATATATATATATATATATATATATATATATATATATATATATATATATATATATATATATTAATCAATTTTTATATATAATAATAATTTTATATAAAACTTATTAGTTTCAACATTATAGCTTAAAAACTTACAAAACTTCAACAAAAAATATGAAAGTACATTTTTTAATTTGTTTATGTTGTTTTTTGAATCACTCTAATATAAAAATGCAGAAAGTTTAAGCACATAATTTTTTTGTAAGTTATGGTAAGTTAAGACTTAATATTCCTTAGCACATTATTAAGAGTAAAAACACAATTTGAAAGAAAAACTAAAATCTTTTTTAAAATAAAATTTTAAAGTAATCAAAAAATTGATGAGATGAAAGTGCAATAAAGTTTAAAGTTTTCTCTATAGAAATATTATAGGATAATACCCCTATTGTTTTTGATATATACCTGTAACTGCCTTTCGACTGGTATTTTATGCTCTTAAGGTTCTTTTTTTGTTAGTTGATAATCTATCTCAATAACTTTTTGGCCATTTCTACAATTTTTGCCATGCATGGTTTGTTAATATTACAAAAAACCTAGTTCTTATTAAATATATCAAATTCAATGACAGGAAATTAGCAACGTTTTAGAACTAAAGGTAAAATAGAACATGATTGAGTTGTTGATGTCCAAAAGTTTTAACATTTTATTAATTTATCAGATTGCCAGGTGAAAAAGATGACAAAAAAAACGATAGAGAGGAGTTAAGGCTTCGAAAGAAAAGTGAGAAAAAAGAAAAAGAAAAAGAAAAGGCTGAGAGAAAGAAAAAGATAAAAGAATATAAGTTATTTGGTGTAAGCTTTTTTTTTTATTTTTTTTCTTCATGTCTATTCTTACTTTTAACTTTTTAATTTTTGTCTTTATGTCTATTTTTACTTTTAACTGTGATCTTAGTGTTGATGGTTATCTTCCTTTAATTTGTAAAGACTCCAATAGTCACATGCTTGGCCTAGGCATTTACATTTGTAAAAATTTACCCATTTGTCGGCAAACTAGGTTTGAATCCACAGACTACCCCTTTCTGTGCTTTCGTTTAGCACCACTTCACTCTATCACCTTTCTCTTTGTTCTATATTGCTCTCCTTCATCTCAAGACTGCACTTTTCTTGATGTTATTTCTAATTATATTGACCAAGGCCTCATTCTTTATCCATCAGCCAATATTGTTGTTGTCGGTGACTTTAATGTTCATCACACTGAATGGCTTGACTCTGCTGGCATTAAGGCCCACAACCTTTGCCTTTCTCAATCCCTAACTCAAATAGTCAACTTTCCAACTCGCTTTCCAGACAACCCGAATCATTTACCTTCTCTACTCGACTTATGTCTTGTTTCTAATCCTAGTCAGTGCTCAGTTTCTCCACACTCACCCTTAGGTGCTTCTGATCATGGTTTGGTCTCTCTAAAACTATTATCTCATTCTTCTTTACCATCAGAATCCCCCTATCATTGTACATCTTTCAACTACTTTAAAGCTAACTGGGACTCTTTCCCTGATTTTCTTCGTGATGGCCCCTGGGTAGAAATTTTTTGTCTTCCTGTTGACAAATGTGCTTCTTACATAACTTCGTGAATTCAGGCTGGCATGGAATCCTTTATTCCCTCTCAACAATTCCAGGTCAAGCCTCACTTTTCTCCATGGTTTTCCTCACATTGTGCTGCTGCAATTGCCAATCGAAACCATTACTTCCATATCTATCAGCAAAACAATTCTCCAGAAAACAGACATCTGTTTATTACTGCTAGGAACCATTGTAAAAAGGTTTTGTCTAACGCCAAAGCCCACTATTCTCAGATCATGAAGTCTCGTATTTCATCACAGAAATTAGGCTCTCGTGACTTCTGGAGAATCTTTAATAGTATCAATAATAAGGGCAAGTCTGTAATCCCACCTCTTTTGTACAGTTCAGACTTTGTCACCTCACCTAAAGACAAAGCTGAATTGTTTGCTAAGAACTTTTCATCAATATCATCTCTTGATTCCACTAGTTGCGTTCTACCTGATATAGCCGTCAAACAGGTTGATCCTTAAATAAGTGCTTATCAGAGTCTTGTTTTCCAGCCTGCTGGAAAGCAGCATCTGTTATCCCTATTTTTAAAAATACTGGAGAGCGATCCGATTCGTCTAACTACCGTCCCATTAGTCTTCTTCCTATAATAAGCAAGCTTTTTGAATCTTTAATTAACAAACACTTAATCTCTTATCTCGAATCTCATAACCTACTTTCTGATCATCAATATGGATTTCGATCTTCTTGTTCTACGGCTGATTTGCTAACAGTAATAACCGATAGGTTTTATCGTGCATTAGATAAAGGTGGAGAGGTTAAGGCTATCGCTCTTAACATTTCTAAAGCGTTTGATAAAGTTTGGCATTCTGGTTTTCTCCATAAGCATCTGGAATCATCTTTAAGATTATTGAATCCTTCCTTTCCAATTGTAGTATAAAAGTTGTCCTTGATGGACAGCACTCTTCTTATTCTGTAACCTCAGGGGTTTCTCAAGGTTCAATCCTTGGCCCCATACTCTTTTTAATTTACATAAATGATCTTCCAGATATTTTCACATCTAAGGTGACATTGTTTCCTGATGATACTACCATTTATTCTTGTCATGATACAACAATCTCTGATTGCTTGAAGGGGGCATTTGAGCTTGAAAAGAGCTTGAAAAATTGCTACAGCATGGGGCTCACAGTGGCTGGTGAACTTTAATTCAGATAAAACTCAATTTTTTTCAGCCAATCGTTATCGCAATAATTTAGACCTTCCTATATTTATGAACGGTAATGTACTTGATGAGTCTCCTACCCTTCATCTTCTAGGATTAACTCTTGTTTCTGATCTTTCTTAGAAACCTTATATTAAATCCGTTGCAAAATTAGCATCTGCTAAAGTCGCTTCTCTTTATCGAGCTCGTCACTTTCTTACTCTGGATTCTATTCTCTATCTCTATAAATCTCAAATCCGGCCTTGTATGGAATACTGTTGCCATATCTGGAGCGGATCTTCTAATGATGCCCTTTCTCTTTTAGACAAGGTGCAAAAACGCATTGTAAACATAGTTGGACCTGCTCTTGCAGCCAACCTTCAACCTCTGTCACATCGTCGTAATGTTGCTTCTCTTTCTCTTTTCTACTAATACTATAATGGGCACTGCTCTAAAGAGCTATCGTCTCTTGTGCCATCTACTAAAATTCATTCTCGTGTTAATTGTCATTCAATTAAGTCTCATCCTTTTTCTGTTACTGTTCCTAAGTGCTCCAAAAACTCTTATTTGTCTAGTTTTTTTCCTCGAACAACAGTTCTTTGGAATTCGCTTCCTTCATCTTGCTTTCCTGATTCATATAATTTGCAATCTTTTAAGTTGTCTGTCAATTGTTATCTTGCTCTACAATCTTCATATTTTCTCTTTCAGTAACTTCCAACACTAATTAGTGGTTGCTTGCAGCCTTGTTGGAAGCAAAGATGTTTAAAAAAAAAAAAAACTTTTTTTTTAAACTTTTTAATAATGATATGCAATGCTCTATGTTGTCATGCTGTGCTAAAAATTAATCAATTTAATTTTTTTTAATTAAATGATCCAGCAGGGGTACTTCACTTTAACCATAAAAAAAAGTGTAACATTTGAAAGGTGTCCTGAAATATTTATTAAGTATTTACTGGCAAAAGTAAAATGCTAAAGAGTATTATAAAAAACTGAAAATAAATATAATCAATAATAGAAATAAAAAGTTTTTTAACAACAAATTATAATGTATTCATTTCCATTAAATTTTTTTTTTTGTTTTGAAATCTCGATATTTTGTGAGACTAATTATCTGTAATTTATAATGAAATATGATGCGTAAGACCAATTATCTGCAAATAAATTGTTTTTAGTTAAACTTATTTTTAAGCTTTTTTTTTTAAGAATGATAGCATCAGTATAATTAGATAAGCTTTGAAAACATGGTTTTGAAGTTTTTTTTTTAACTGTCTATGTAAAGCTGTGTGTATGTCTATGTTTATTTTTATTTAATTGTTTTTTTTCTGAAAAGATCATTTTCTTTTAACACATTCTCTTTATCGGTACCATAATGCTTTGAAAGGTCACCACATTGAACAAAATTAATGTTCAATCAGCATTAAGTTTTAGTAATCAATTCAGCAATTGGTATAATTCCAATAGTGCTTTTTCAATTTTTTTTAAATGTTTCATATGGAGCCAATTCTACAGTGGAACATCTTGAGTTATGTTGCTGAAAATGCCCACTACATAGTGATATTGGCACAGGTTGATGATGATGAAGGTAGCTTCAAAAACGTATTTATTATTTGAGCCTATTTGTGCATAAGTTAAAGTTGACATTTTGTAAAGCAGTGAATCAATCAGTTAAGATTTCCCTAAAAAATCCCCTGCAACATCACAAATAGGTTGGCAAACAAATTTTCTGCTTTATTGCCTGAATTAATGCTTACTTTCTGTGCAAAAGGTATTCAAGTTTCAGGACACTAATTAAGTTGTAAAGTCCCATACGTTTTCTGTTTTTTTTTTTTTAATTAAATTAGATGTTACCTGGATTTAATTATTATCTAGATTTTAAAAAATATTCTATTGCTCCTTATGGTCCTTATTAATAACAAAATGATTAATTTTTTTGTTTGGATTTTTAATCAACAATGTGTTTTGAAGTTATATATTTTATTGTGTTTAAAAAATAAAAGAAGCAAACAAAGCAGATATCATATTTTTCAAATATTATAATCAATTGCTTTTGTATAATAAAGTAAATAATAGTTTATAACAAATACATAAATGATCTGATGCCATTGATAAGTATATATATGTTTTATAACTTTGTTTAAGGATTTTTTTTTATTAACTTAAATAGAAATTTTAAAATAAATAAATTAATTAGTTTAAAATATTATTTATTAATAGTATTATTAGATAAGTATTAATTAAATATTTAAAAAAATTTTTAATTGTAAATGTTTTTAATTATAAAATATTAGCGGTATTTTTTTAAGAAGGTCTTATTAAAACATCTTTTATTATATATAATAAGTATTAGAAAAACAACTGCTTTAAGAAAATCTCGCAGCAATTTTTAATCTTGGATTTATTGATTCCATTTTTACACCTTAACAGACCATGAATGTATTTGATGATATTACATTATTTAGTTAAACTAATATGCAATAAAAATGTACAAAAATGTAGCAACAACAAAGAACTAAGAGTTTTTAAAATTTTAAAATACTAATAGTTGTAATAGTTTTTAAAAGCGAAAAGTTTAATATTTTTAATTAAAAATGTTTTAAAAGTATATATATAAAATTTAACTTGCTCAAACTATTTATTCTAAAAAAAAAACATCTTTTTACTTTGCAATATTTTATTAGTTGCGTTTTTAACTTTTTATTTATAAAATTTGAAGAAACTCTAATAATTTATGAAATAATCAACCTTTTACTATAAAATATCTTAACATAAAGTTAAAACATAAGAGATTTACAAATATCTTATATATATAAATAGTCAAATACAATGCCCTTTTTAACAATTATGCCATAAAAATGTTACAAAGCCTAAATTGATAAATTTCAGAAAAAATTGTTTCTCTGACTTATTTAACAGTGTAACTAAAAAAGCTATTACTAAAATGTAATCAATTTCATTAATCATTTTATTTTCTACACAAGCTTTTTTATTTAAATATCAAATCTACTGATTGCATGTGAAAGCACTGCCAGCACAGGTGGATTGCATTGCTTGTCAAATCTGGGCATTTCACAGCTTGTGCACTCAT